CTCATGATGGGCAACTGTCAAGTGTTCAGGTTTTGCTAAGGCCTAACAACTAAGAGCTGTCTCTCAAAGGGAGATTATTTGTCTATGGTGGTAGAGCCTTGCTCCAAAATCCCATAGGTCTCTATGTTTCACCTAATACAAGTGTGCCACAGGCTCCAGAGAGCATCCCCATCTGCCACTGATACCTCAAGCACCACCAGGTCTGGTGGATCACATGGTCCAAGTGGTAGAGCAGCTCACACAGCAGCTTGGACCTTGAAGAGCCTTCTCTTGTTCCAGGCCCCACTCAAAGCCAACAGCTTTCTAAGTCACATGGTATTTGGGTGAGAGTAACACACATAGGTGAGAAATGTGCCGTCTCCAAAATCCAAATAGGCCTGTCGTGGTTGTGGGAGTGGCCAAGTGCAATAACTTATCCTTTGCCCGAGAAGGACTATCCCTGTATGCCCCACACCACTGGACTCATGAGAATTTCACTGAGATACAATGTCCTTGGATTTTGGTTGAACTTATTCTCATCCTCTGATGTGTGTATGTGTTAACAAGTTCAAAGGGGTTGCTACCTCCTGGTGCCTTGGTCCAATCAGCATAATGCCATCAGTATCATGAACCTATGTGATATTTTGTGGAAGAGACAGATGGTCAAGAACCCTTTGCACAAAATTATGACATAGACTGGAGAGTTAAAGCTGTATATATCCTTGAGGCAAAGCTATAAGGGTATTCTGCTGGCCTTCCCAACCGAAAACAAATTGCCTCTTTCGGTCATATGGATAGGTATATGGATAGGTACAGAGAAAAAGACATTTGCTAGATCAATAGCTGCATACAATGCACCGGAGATAGATCTGCAGAAATAAAGATACCACATATGGTACAGGAGCAGCAATTGGAGTCACTACTTGAGTTTTTGATTGTCTGTGCACTGGCCAGATAGGAGAGTTAAAGTGAGATGTGGGGAACCACCATCCCTGCATCTTTCAAGCCTTGATGGTGGTACTAATTACTTCAGTTCCCCTAGGGATACAATATTGTTTTTGATTCACTATTTTCTTTGGCAGGGAACTCTAAAGGCTTCCATTTAGTCTTTCCAACCATAATCATTCTCACTTCATAGGTCGGGAAACCAGTGTGATGATTCTGACAACTTCTAAACTTATCTATCCCCAATATACATCTGGGATTGTGGAAATAACCACAGGATGAGTTGGGGGACCTATTCTGAGTCAGACTTCAGTCAAAACTCAGTTATCACCTGGCCTCCATTATCCCCTACTTTTTTTTCTTTTTCTTTTCATTTTTTTATTTGAATTAGAAACAAGATTGATTTACATGACAATCCCAGTTCCCTTCTCTCTCCGGTCCTCTCCTACTACCCCCCCCCAACTAAAGCCCTACCTATCACATATCCTTTCTTCTATTCTTCACCTGACTCAACCTTTCTGCTCCCTCATGACCTCTGCATCCTTCCTCCTCTTCCCTTCTCATTCTCATAGCTCCCTCCTCTCTCTTCCCATGCTCTCAATTTCATAAGCCCCTACTTTAACAGGAAGGCCACAGTGTTTCTTGGGGGTCTTCCAGAATCAACATCAATACAGAACCAGTATCCAATAAAGCCTGGAAAGTCTTATTGTTTCCTTTCCCCCAGTGTACAGTTAACCCTTGTAAAAGGCTATGGGTCCTTCAGGGACACAACCGGAGAAAGGCTAACTTTAAAACTTTTAGGTGTTTTATCAAGGTCCTTCCCCAGGGTAACCTGGTTGTTCCTTCATTCAAGTAGTTCTGGGTCTGCAAACTTGAGCAAGTTGGAAATCAGTTCACAGCTGAGATTTTTTTTTTTTTTTTTTTGGCCACGGCCCAATGTAGTCTTTCCTTCATTTGTTGGAGAAGTTTTCCACTAAAAAAAAATATCAAGCAGAAATGCAGTAGGCTTCTTTCTTATCTATTCCATACCTGGAAACACCAGGATTGATTAGCCAGTACCAAAGCTCATGACATCATAAACTTCAGTTTGCCTGTGCTGACTGTTATGGTGAGGCCATTATCAACATTGCTTTGCCTGTACTGCCCCTTTAAGACAACAATAACCTTACCTCGGAGACTCAGTGCCACCACCTGACACAATGCTACTTTGGGCTCCAATTAACCCCATTGCAACCAAGAAGCAGCATCTCCAGCCCTAAAGTATGGCTCAAGGAAAGGAGCAACACACTCTTCAATGTGCTGGTGCCCTCTTACCTTTTACATCTTAGAGGATTACTGAAGAGTAGATCTTATGGACCTTCAAATTGTGGTGGATTAGGTTTTACACAGCATACCCACTCTAGCACTGCAATTTCCCTAAGCCTTAAAATCCCTTCATCAACACTAAGCCAAGGAATCAATCAGGCATCTCCAACTCCTTTTCAGTCAGCTATCTTTTGACAAATGCTTCAGCCAACCATTCAGACTTTTGACATTAAAAAAAAAAATCTATGCAAGCTTTCATATTAAACCTAGAATCTCCACTTACTAAGCCTGTATCAATAAACTCAGTCTGATGCAGTTTGGCGTTCCTTCCACCGTTATCTCACACTCTTAAAACCCATCCCACACATATTCTCCAGACTTTTGCTTGAAGGCATTAGCAAACTTGTTAAGCTCTTGAGTGGTGTAGCACACTTCACGGACTACACATTCTGCCTCTTCCTAGGAGCCTGCTTAGCCTTATGTCTGGTTATAGGTCTTGAGGCAACTTTTGGTGGGCCCTGAGGATGTTAAATATTATCTTGCCTGGCATCTCCTTCAGAGGTCACTGCTGGTTAAGGATTAAGTCCCTCAAAAGAGGCTAAGATTAAACACCATGACCAAAAGCAACTAGGGAGGAAAGGGCTTATTTTACTCACTGTTCCTTATAACAGTTCATCATCCAAAGCAACGAGGGCAGGAAAGTCTCTAATTTACACCATGGACTGTTAGTACTCTGAGTTTCTAGGTGAGGCTTCAGTAACTGGAGAGACATCAGTAACTCTAGGTGTTGGCAAACTGGAAAGTCTATTCCAGATACCTAAAATACAACTCATACTTCAGTTGCCCTAAAGCCACTTCTGATGGCAAAAATCTGTATTTGCATTCTCTAAAGGAACAGAACTTATAGAATAAATCTAAGAAAAAAATCCCCCACAGGTGTACCCAGACAAGTGGGTTTTAGTTAATTCCAGATGTAATCAAGTTGACAACCAAGAATAGCCATCACACAGACTATTATCACGACATCCTACTTGTACCCAAGGAAACCAAGATGCAAATTATTTAGGTAACTTCCAAGATACAGAGTTTTAACCCTCAACATTCCTGCATACTGTAGCTGGTACTCAGTGCTCTTCTTGGTACCATCTGAAGTAGACTCTCCTGTCTTGCTTTCCACAGGTGTGTGTGTGTGTGTGTGTGTGTGTGTGTGTGTGTGTGTTATACCTATGCATGTGTTCATGATTATGCCCAGAACCTTGCACACACAAGACAATGTCTCTATCACTGAGCAGCAGCTTTTCCATCTTCAATCATCTTAATCACTGCTGCTGAAGAAGCCCCACCCCCAGAAGATAGTCACTCAGACATAACAGATCTTTAGTCTTTGTGCCAATAATCTATTCACAAAAGTAAAACTGATCACATACAGTTGAAAGGTTTCAAACTAATTAAAACTGGTCACAAGGCAGTTTGCTCATAGGAACCCAATAGACCATTTTGGTTTTCCTTATGATTGTTTAAAAGACCATAAAATATTGAATATATTTTTTCACTAAATGAATTATTAAATATCCATTTCTGTGCATTATAAGTTTAACCAAGTTCAGTTGCCTATTGTCATATGGTTTCCTATGAAGTTGTGGGATGGGTGGCAACTTTTTAACTGTGGGAAGAATTTCACTAATTTCTGCCATAATCATAAGTCAATAATTCTTCATCCATTCTTTAGTTTTAAGATGATAGTTTAAAAAGAAATGTATTTCAGCTTCAAAGATCTTATTCAAAATGAGCAAAATATGAACTAAACTTGCCCTTATAAATCCAGAACATAGAGTTAGACTTTGGAACACTCAGCTCTAAATGGGATGTCTCCATCAAATTCCTCCCCTCAAAGCTCAGGGGAGAAGAGGTGGAAAGAGTGTAAGAGCCAGAGGGGATGGAACACACCAGGAGAACAAGCCCCTCCAAATGAACAAAGAAAAGCTCATATGAACTCACAGAAACTGAATCAGCATGCATAGGGCCCACATGGGTCTGCGCCAGGTCCTCTGTGTATATAGTATGGCTTCCAGTTTAATGTTTTTATAGGATTCCTGAGTCTTCAAATGAGTGGGCATCTAATTCTTGTGCCTTCTCTTGGGCTTTTTTCTTTCAGTTGATTTGTCTAACTCTGAAGTGACAGTTTTTGATTTACCTTGCTATATTTTATCATTACCTCTTAGAAGCCAGTTACTTTTATAAATGAGAGACAGAAGGCCCTCTTAGCGCAGTAGGCACCATGTCAGTCTCATAAATGAGAGACTGAGTGGATTCAGACAGGACTGGAGAAGCTTGGAAGAGTATAAGGAGGAGAAATCATAATCTGGCAATATTATGTGAGAAAAAAGTTTTTTTTTCCCCCTGAGACAGGGTTTCTCTGTGGCTTTGGAGGCTGTCCTGGAACTAGTTCTTGTAGTCTAGGCTGGTCTCGAACTCACAGTGTGCTGGGATTAAAGGTGTGAGCCACCACCACCACTTGGCAAAAGCAACTATTTTCAATAAAGGAAAAAATGTACTTCCTTAAAAAATAAAAGCAGAACATTATTCTATTGTTTATACCTCATCTCATAATAGTGGTCACCTAGAAGGATGAAGACACTGTTTTATAGTCATGTAGAATGTGATGGTGGATGCCAGAGGTAATATGGCATCAAATGACAAGAAAAAAAAAACAACAACAAAAAAACAAACTCTCCGCCCATCACAGTGCAAAGGAAGCCAGCAATGCTCACCTGAGACGGGAGTCCTTGAAGGTATCCAGGTAGGTGGGGTAACTCCACTCCACTTTGCTTCCTTTACATCGGAGCTCTACAGTCTGCCCTGCCATCAGACTCATCGTAGCAGCAGGCTTCTGGAAGCGACCGCCGTCCATTGCTTGCACCATGATGGACTGGCTCTTTGGTGGTGTGTCAGCTGAGTCCCTGTCCTTTATTTTCGGAATCTTGGGTTTGGCCTTTTTGTTAGTAGGTTTGATTCTGTTGTCTCCTTGTTCCTTTGGACGTTTGCTCTTAGGAGGCTGTTGACCAGCAACTGCAAAGGTGTGAGAGGGAGACAATGAATGGCATACCCAGAGCTTAAGAAGCCCACAACCAATGAGTTCAATGCTTACCCCTGCTTTATGCTCAAATCCTTTTCAGCCACAATCAGAAGCCATGAAGCAATCATTTTTGATTTATCCATTCTTTAATTTTAAGACAAAAATTTAAAAGAACTATATTGCAGCTTCGAAGCTATTATTTAACATCAGCAACATATAAACTAAAAGTTGCCCTTATAAAACTAGAGCATTTTTTGTTCATATTCCATCTCACAATGATGGTCACCTAGAAGGCCCACCCTGAAGACACTAAGAATCTGTTTTAGGTCTCAACAATCATTTTGCCTCAGGTGATTCTTTAAATGCAAGGATATGTAATCAATGTCTAAGGACAAGGGACATGAGTAGCATTAGAAATGCATTCAGATGACTTAAAGCATCTTTCAAAATGGAAATGTAGGGTGGGATCTACATTTGTTGTGGATGTTGAAGACAAAGTTTATAGGGATATGGTGGTACAGTGGTACAGGGCTTGCCCAGTATGATACAGAGCCTTGGGTTGCATTCCTACCATTTCATAAGACAGGACATTATGGTACATGCCTGTATCATTAGGATGGAGAGGCATAAGAATCAGAAGTTCAATGTTCTCAGCTGTACAGTAAATTCAAGGTGTGCTTGAGCTACATGTAACACCATCTTTAAAAAGGGCGTATGAAATGTCAGTCAGCTTAAAGCTTTATGTGTAATTACTGAAACCCAATTGAAGAGCTGGGAAGATGGCTTGGTTGGTAGAATGCCCGCAAGGACACCGTGAGGACATGGTAAAAGCCATTGTGTGATCCTAGTGCTGAGGTTGAGAAAGGGGATGAGGAGGGGCAGGTGGATTCTTAGATGGGATGGGGAGGGGCATGGGGACAGGTGGATTCCTGGAGCTCACAGGCCATCCAGTCTAGCCACTAGGTGCAATGGATGTTCTGTGAGAGACTGTCTTACAAATTAAAGAGGAAGGTAATAGGAAAAAAAAACACATTGAGCTCTGGTTTCTACACACTCATACATGCATGCACACACACACACACACCCTCCCACACACCCCACCACCATAACCAAGTACAACAACAACAACAACAAAAACTTCCATCAGCAAAAATTCCCAACTATAGCAATGGTTTAGAGTTTAGCTAGTGAGATATTTTTGGATATGTATTTCCACCAGCATTGTTGAGGGTTGCTAGCAAACAGTGATAACCCAAAGGTGCACTGCTTTAATTTGGCATATTGTCTTCTCTATAAGTTATCCATTATTGCCTTCACTCGGGGAAAGTTGTTCCTACTCTCTGGACCTTCTGGAGGCTGCTGGGCTCCAGAAATCTCAACTAAGTCCTTTTCAATTGTGCTAGTGTGTCCACCCTGAAAAGGTGAAAAGCTAAGTCTTGGACAAACAATCTGTATGCATACCAGCAAAGGATATTATTCTATGTGGCCACAGAATTACAAAAATGCCTAGACTTATAGAGTCCTTAGATGCCCTTTAGGTGAAGTCCTCATGCTCAAGATGAAAATAATACAAGATGCTCTGAAAGGTTTTGAATACATTATACAAAAATCACTCAATTGATCATTAGCAAAATACTAAACTAGAGCTCAGGTCCCCCTACCCCACTCCACCATGTTAATTTCTTTTCTTTTTTTTGGGGGGGGCGGGGTTTGAAACAGGGCTTCTCTGTGTAGATTTGGAGCCTATCCTGGCACTTTCTCTGGAGACCAGGCTGGCCTCGAACTCACAGAGATCCGCCTGCCTCTGCCTCCCGAGTGCTGGGATTAAAGGCGTGCGACACCAATGCTTGGCCCACCACATTAATTTCATTGCAAGGAGATTGACATGTTGTATATATTTTAAATAAGTGACTACCAACCCTGGTCAGTAGAGGGATCTGCTTGTATCAAATGGGGGAAATGTGATGTCAGGAGAAAAACATTGACAAAGCTCTTCCCAGTATGTTTCCGTGTATGCTGTTCCGAGTTTTGTAACCAGAGCTATTTAGCCTCCACTCTAAGCTCAGCCTTGCCCAGACCCTGGAGTCAATTTGCCCTTGGAGCTTTCAGCTCAGAGTCCACACCCAGTCCTGTCAAATTCCTTTTGGTCTGTATACCTTTGCTCCCTCCCTATAACTTAGCATTCTTTTCTGTGGCCTCAGAGCCAGTCATGGTTAGATTCCTAGACCTGAGTCACCTGGAGTCTCGTCTTATTTTCCTTCTTTCCTCTACTCAATTCCAACAGGCACATGTCCCGAAGACCCAAGGGGTAGAGTTGTGTCCCTGAGCTCTGTGCTCCAAGGCAGAGTTTCCCAGTACCTGCCATTTGCCCAGCCCTGCCCACCCTGCACATCCGATTTACACATCCCTGACTCTAGTGATGGGCTGGACACAATGGCTCTCATGTGCAGGCTCATTTTCATAGTTCATCTTGATTGTCTATTCAGCTTATGTCAGTAAGGATTAGAGTCAGCTAGAAGACAAATCTCTTGGTATGTTTGTGAGAGTGTTTCCAGAAAGGTTTAACTGAGGATAAAGGTCCTACCCATTGGGTTCAAGTTGCAGACTGAATAAAGAAAGATCAAGTGGAACATAGCATCCATCTCCCCCTGTTTGACTTAATGGCCAACTGCTTTATGCCCCTACCATCATGCCTTCCTGCCATGATGAACTGAATCACTTTAAACCATGACCATGATCAAAACCAAAACCTTCCTTAAGTTTCTTTTGTACTTTGGAACTTCGGGTTCTTTGTCACAGTAGTAAGAAGCATGAGTAACACATTCCCTAAGCTCATATAAGGAGAAGCTATTGGAACCACATTAGATGGGAAGAAATCCATTAATTCAGTACCACCATGCAAGGGACAAGCCTCAACTTTGCATTCTGCCAGAAGTCATAGTACCCTCCTCAAAAGATAGAAAATAAAAGCCTACTGTGCTGATGTCTATGCATTGTATGCCCCCAAAGCATTTTAATTACACTATGCTTATGAGAGTGGCTGAACTTTTAACTGACATTATTTTTTAATTATAAAAATTTCCTTTAAAAGGGGGCTGGAAAGATGATGGCTCAGAGGTTAAGAGCACTGGCTGCTCTTCCAGAAAACCTGAGTTCAGTTCCCAGAAACCACATGGTGGCTCACAATCATCTGTAATGAGATATGGTGCCTTTTTCTGGCCTGCAGACATACATGCAGACAGAACATTGTATACATAACAAAATCTTTAAATTTTTTTTCCTTTAAACAAGGTTTGTATGATGAAAGACTTGTCAAATAAAATGGAAAGTTTCCAATACATTGAAATGTAAATCCATACATCACTGTAAATACAACACCCAATAGTAAAAACCACAACAGCAAATTCACACCATCCCTGTGACAGCCATGATCTGATTCTCACTTGCTTCCAAGTGGTGGCAAACATGGCCTTCTGGACACAGAGTACACTAGGGCTTTGAAGTCACACTCATCTGACAGGACTGTGGCATTGCTAGTTCAGCCTAAGAAGGAAAGCAGGTACCAGCACATTCACACAGTGTTAGCAAACAAATATCCTTTAAATATCAAAGTGAGAAGTAAGAAAGCAATAGAAGCATCCTATCAGGAAGCCAGCAGGAAGGAAGGACAGCTGTGGAAAGCTTGGGGCTGGGACGAGGTCACCAGCTTCATTTTTTTTCCCTTTTTTTTTTTTTTTTTTTTTTTTTTTTTTTTTTGGCTTTCTGGGTAATGGAAGCTGGAGCAGTAAGAGGTGAGGTTCTGGTTCACAGATCATATAACGGGCCCATCCCTGACTCTACTGAATGCCAAGATTTCTCTATTCAGATTCAGACGGGTTTCAGGGATCAGCTTGGCAGCATGATATGCCAGTATGCGACCTCCTCACTGTCATGTTTGTCTGAGTGGTAAATCTGTTTGTATGACATGACTGCCCAGCCCTGCACCACTGGCCTCCAGACAATGCCCAGCAGCCTTGACTGATGGTCTTACTTTGGTGTTCTTACTTTAAACCACATCACCACATAACCTTCTATAAATCCCATGGAATTCACACAGTCAGTGCTATCTGACTTCTGTGCTATCAGGTCCTATGTGGCTACATTGCTTGACAGCAGCAGTTTACTCTGGCTATCACCTGTCCAAATACTTGCTACTCTATGTGGGAAATAATTCCATCCTTTTGACCAGATAGACCCCAGTTTCATTAAGTGTATTATTGGGCTAGCTGCCTGAGTATAAAAATGACCCATAATTTAACAGTATGAAGTTAAAGAAAACTAAGGGGCTGCAGGTGTAGCTCAGCAATGGAGCATGTGCTTAGTGGGACTGAATGACACCTAAGCCCCATGTGTGACATACTAAAGGACTATGACTTCTCATATCCACCTGCCCTGTGGTCAATCTCTAGGCTCCTGACAGAATCCACCCTACCGGCCACAACCCACAGGTTCCTTCTGATCTGCCCCCAACTACCCCACTTAGCACTCAGACTTCCCAGGTCCTCTTCCATGGTCTAACACAGTGAGTCTCCCAGACATCCCCCATCCATGCTTTGTCCTGAAACCTATCAGTCCCACAACCAGGGCACCGGCCTAGTCTGGCCTCCCCCACCTGCATTGAAAAGAAACTAAGCTTTGGCCAGGATCATTTTTCCCTATCACCCAACCTACATACCCTCCCATGTTATAGCCAACCTTTCCAACCTGCTAAACTTACCCCCACACTCCAGACTCAGAACAGGAAGCATACCCTAGTCCCCTCTGTCCACTTGACATCATTGCATCCAAACCATTTCCAGTTTTTAGGTCCAACTCACTCACACTCCCAAACTGCTCTGTCTGTAACAGACTCAGAACAAAAGAAGTTCACATGCCCCCTGATCTCACTGTAAAAAAGTACCTGAAATATGAGGGATCAATCCAGTATCTTCTCTTCCAAAATGTACCAATCCCATAGAAACGTTGCTTAAGCCAGATGAACTCCAGGACCCAGGCATTAAAAGAATAACCTTAAACTTAGAAGACACCAAGAAACAGCTTAAGGAAATGAAGAAAATTCTTCCTTTCTTTCTTTATATTTATCTATTTATTTTGTTTTTTTCTGTGTAGCTTTGGATCCTATCCTGGCACTCGCTTTGGAGACAAAGCTGGCCTCTAACTCAGAGATCCACCTGCCTCTGCCTCCCAAATGCTGGGATTAAAGGTGTGTGCCACCAACACCCGGCGGCGAGAAAGTTCTTAAAGAGAATAAATGTTTTCTTGGGCATTGCTGAGGCATAAGCATGAAGTTGGTGAAAATGACAAAGACAATCCAGTACTTGAAAATAGAATTCAATAAGGGCATAGAAACATTGAAAGTATTCAAGCTTAAATGAGGATGGAATTGCAAACCCCAATAACTATGATCTCACATGCAAGCCTTACAAGCAGAATGGATCAAGTAGAAGTTAGAATCCCCAGTTTTGAAGATAGAGGACCTAGTCTAAAATAAGCAAGAGATATGAAAAAAATTTAAACTCACAGGGAAAGAAACACATAGAAAATGTGAGACACCATAAAAAAGTCAAATTACAGGTATAGATGAGGGTAAAGAACCCCCAGGTCAATGGCATAGACCAGACCATCAACAAGATGATAGAAGATTCCCCCCAATTCCAGAAAGATACACCCATCCAAGTATAGGAAGCATACAGAGTATGAAATTGACAATGCCAGAAAAGAAAATCCCCAATGGCATGGCATATCATAGCTAAAACACGAAGTATAGCTGGTGGTGGTGGTGGTGCATGTCTTTAATCCTTTAATCCCAGCACTCAGGAAGCAGAGACAGGTAATTCTCCGAGTTTGAGGCCAGCCTGGTCTATAGAGTGAGTTCCAGGACAGCCAGGGCTATTCAGAGAAAACCTGTCTTGGGAGCAACAAAACAAACCAAAACCAAAAACAAACCAAAATCAATCACATGAATAAGATAGTGTACTTAAAGCTACCACAGGAAAATACAAGTCATATTTAAAGAAAAAGCTACCACAATTACAGCTGATTTCTCAATGGAAACTTTCAGAGCCAGAAGAGACCGTAACAATGCATTTTACATCTTAAAAAAGGTTATGACTACCAACATAGACTAATATACCCAGCAATACCTTTTGCCATAATTAAAGGGAAAGGAAAATATTGCACAGCTTAAATGGCCTAAGAAAATTGTCTTCAACAAGCCCAACCTAAATACAAGAAGCATTATTTCAGGTTGCAGAGGAATGAGAATGGCAGAGAGACTCTGGAAAGAAATACAAAGACATAATTATCAAAACACAAAATACCACTGAGAACAGAAGCATGACAAGATGACAATTAACACAAATATTTCAGTAATATCTTTAAATATCTTCAATTCTCCACTTAAAAGACCCTGGGTAACTGAATGGATCAAGAAATGAAATCCATTATCTGTTGTGTCCAAGAAAAGCATCTTGCTTTTAAAGATAGGCACCACTTTAGAGTAAAAAGCTAGGCAAAAGCAGTCCAATCAAATGGGACCAGGAAGAAAGCAGGCATCAATACCCTAATATTTGATGAAATAGACTTCAATTAAAACTACTCAAAAAGAGATAAAGGACACTTTATTCTAATCAGGGAAACAGTTAACCAAGAAGACATTACTATTCAAAAGAAATACAACCAAATATAGAGGGTCCAATTTCAAAAAACTAAACTACCAGATTTAAAGACACAGATTAACATCGAACCATTAATGGTAATTCATTTCAATACCCTACCTTCTCCAATGGACAGTACATCTGAACAAAAAATAACCAGAAACATCAGACATAATTGACACCATACATCAAATGGACTTAATAGATGGCTATAGGATATCTACCTGAACACCAAAGAATACATGTTCTACTCAGCAGCACAGGGAAACTTGTCTAAAATGAACCATATCCTGGGATACAAAACCAATCCTTACAAATTAAAAAAGATTAAATTCATGCTTTGTATCCTATCTGATCACAATGCTATAAAACCTAAAATTGACAGTGAACAAACTCATGGAAATTAAACAACTCATTCCTGAATGATGAATGGGTTAAAAAAATCACAAAATAAAAAAATTCCCAGAAGTAAGTTAAAATGAAAACATAATACAATAAAACCTCTGGAACACATTGTAAGCAGTCCTATGATGGAAATGTATAGCTCTAAGTGCCTACATTAAAAAAAAAAATCAGAAAGGGTACAAATCAACGGCTTAACAATGCAACTCAAAAAGTTGGAAAAAAAAATCAAGAGCAAACAAAAGCCAAGCCCATCTGATGGCAAGAAATAAAATTCAGAGCATAAATCAAGGCAATAGGAACAAAGAAAACAGATTTAAAGAATCAAATTTAGGAGCCCTTTGAGATGATAAACCAAA